CAAAAAACTCCTTTTGCCTCGGGCTCAAATATGGCTCAGGAGGGCATTGCTACAACTGCCATCTTTATGTAAAATTTTGCTATTTTGTTCGTATGAATTACTTTGCATTTATATTTGTCTGCACCCTGATTACACACATTGATTACACACAAACTCAGTAAAGGCAATAGAAGGCAAGAATATAAAGAAATGATTCAGGCTTGGACCCTATTTTCCTGAACTCACTGGGAAGTAACACGTGATTTCATCTGTAAACACATAGTAGAAAGTAGAAAATGTTAGATGCTGTACTCCATAAAAAACCACACCTAAATTTGTATGAGCTTTGAAGCAAAAATCAGAAATGTTTATTTCTCAGTCTTAATTAAAATAGTTTATTTTCTGTAACAAGTCTAGAAAAAGCTAAAATGCCATCCTAGCAAGTAAAACCAATTAAACTTATCATGTTGGCACATGAAGAACAGTTATCTTAAAGCCTTATGTATCATTTCTATATTGTAAAACTTGGGGTTGACTCTAGCTGTCATTTACTGAGATTTCAAAAAATATTAATTTCAATGAATATCCCTCAAGGGAATATTCAAATAACTTAATATTGAAATAACTTAAGCAAACCTAGGTTGCAAACTCAGGACTATCTTTCAGCTGGGTAGTCTTGCTAAACCTCTCTGACCTTCAGTTTTTACCAGTGTAAAGGGAGGGGTAATACTTCTTATTTCACAGGGATGTCAGGAGAATTAAATGAAACAATTCATATAAAGTGCCCGGCGCAAGGTAGTCACAAAGGCAGTGCCCCCATGGTTTAATTAAAGCTTTGGCTCTCTGCCTCTCAGTGAACAAAAAACTCTGAGTGTCATAATGAATGGAAGAAATCCAGAAAATGCCAAACCCACGTGCAAGATAGAAATGAATGATCTGGCATCCAAACTCCTAGGCTCCCTTTTTTTCCTCCTGAACTTTGACTTTTCTGACTGCTTGAAAAGTAGCACAAGGCTGCCATCCAGTGGTTCAACGAATGAAAACCAAACCTTTTGTATTTAAGAACCAGAACTCTGAACCCTTTTAAAAGTACCTCCAGTAAAAAATAAGAATAATCAAATAAAAATTTTTAAAAAACACCCTCAATGCAAGACTTGATTGGCAGAAAAGTGACAAACAATAAAATTTTGGAGTAGCTATTTTCCCCAGAGGTGTAAGGAACTTTCTCAGCAGACACACATTGACCATGAAATAATTAGACCTGGTTATACAAATGTAAGTCTCCTACACTTTAAGTTCAAAAACAGCATGAACAAGGAACTGTAACAGGGTGCAGCCAAGAGGAGGGCCCCAAATAGGGATTTGAAATGGGGTCCAGAACTCAAGGTGTCCAGGAAATATTAGGATGTTCCTGCACCACCCCCACCCGCCACAGGTGTGGGCTGGGGGAAGGGACAAATGGAGCAGGGCCATTGAGAGCTGTTTTGTACAGCAACAGCCTTGCAGCTAACCTCTGGTGTGGTCATTTAACATATCTATAACCTTTAACTTGTTACATAGATATGTTAAATAGCTGTTACAGCGCCTCTGTGGGAGCTTGGAGAAGATTGGCTCCATGACATGGGGCCAGGCCTGCCCAGACTCACGATGGCAGTCCAGTAAAGCTAGAAGGATAGGAGAGGGCTAGCAAGTGTAGCTGATGATGGGAGGAGTCGGAAATGGGGCCTCAGAGGAGGGATTGGCGCAGGGATTTAAACGGAGAGGCGGCAGCCATTGGGGGGAGAGCCACGCAGCTTTGGCAGAGTGGAGACTCTCGCAGCCATTGTGCAGAGAGGACCACACAGCTGGGGCAGTGGAGAGAGAACCTCACAGCTTTGCCAGAGTGGGGACCCCCGCAGCTTTAGAAGGGGGAACCACCACCCAGCTTTAGCAGAGATCCCTGCAACACAGCTGATGGTGCCGGGAACTGAGGGAGGCCTACCAGCTGAGACAGATTACTGGGAAGAACTGGGGGCTGCCTGAGCCATGGACTTCTATTTCTTTTCCTGAGATACGGTACCCCAGACTGGGCAAAGGGGGAAGGAAGGACTGTGTGTGTTTGTGGGTGTTTTAAGGGACTTTGGGATTTTGATGAAGACATAGGTCACTACTTTAAGTCTGTACACCATTAAATAAACATTTCCTTTCCTTTTCACAAACCTCTGGCATTGAGAGACGTCTTTCTATAGGCGGCAGACATAATGAACCTGGGGGGTTCCTTTCAGGTAATAGTATATCATCCTAGGCCCCCCCTCCTTGTTGTTTTGTAACAGAACTGCCTTATTCTTGGCACTCAATTGCCACAGAATCACGCTTTCTCCATAGAATTCTCCATGACCTTCGAATCCATGTCCTTTTCTGACTTCCCTTGACATATTTCTCAACAAACTCTTTCAAATTCTCTAAACTTGACCAATTTTATAATTAGGTGGCTTCAGAGTTTTCAAAAACAACTCACACTGATAACATCCTGACTATTTCATTTGGCAATATCCCTGTAGTTTAAGCAGCAATGATAAGGGAACTTATTAGAACATTCCTTTCTAATCCTGAGATGAATGAGTGTAAAAAAAATTCTTTGGAAGAATTTGCATGGAAAGCTTGGTTCACATAATCATTAGCGAGTTCATCATTCTCTTTCAGAACTAGCCCATGTATTGCAGAATACACGCTTGCCTCCCGAATGTTATTGAAAGAGCTGCCTAAATATCTCTGCCAGAGGTGTGCTTTATTGCCGGAAGCTCCCACTTTAACCATCATTTCTTTATGTTTTGATGTTGCCATTTAAAACTTTGTACATGGCCATTAGGAGGTATGAAGATTGTATTTTCCCAAAATAGCCACAGCCCTGTATCTGGTCTTATGTGCTCCTCCAGAACCTTGCAGCTTTCCATCGAGAAGTGGGGCTTATTTTCCCTTCCCTTGAACTGGGCCAGGCTACTCGACCAACAGAGAACCAGAGAAGGAATGTGGTGTGACTTCAGACACTAATTCACACAAAACAGTAAGGCTTCTGACTGCCCTCTCGCTGTCTCTCTCTCTCTCTCTCTCTCTCTCTCTCTCTCTCTCTCTGTCTATCTGGTACTCCCCCTTGGAACCCAGCCACCACACTGTGAGGAAGCCCAGAAGCCATGAGGAAAAGTCACATGTAAATACTGTGGCCACAGCCAGAGCTGAAGTCCCAGACAGACCATGCGAATGAGTGAGTGAGCGACCCTTCAGAGAATTCGAGCTACCAGCCGCCCAGCCATCCTAGCCAACGCCAGCTGAATGCAAATTGGTTAGTAAGCAATGACATCCTTGTTTTAAGTCACTTAGCTTTGAGGTGTTTCTTGAGTAGTCATAGATAACCAACAGTAGTAACATTAACATTGGTACAAGTTAATTTTTCAGATTAGCCATGAAGGATTACAACATGAAGAGAAAAAAGAAGACTTTTTCTACTTACTTTGGGTAGGCTAAAACAACACAAAACTTTTAGAAGAAAACAGGAGAAAGGCTTAACAACATTGGATTTGGCGATGCTTTTCTGGGATATGATACCAAACACACAGGAAATAAAAGAAAAAAAAGAACATTGGACTGTGAAAGCCCCTTGTAAGCTATGAAGTTTAATAAGAAATAGAAGATACCATTATCTCTTGATGAGAATCATCAGACACTTTCATATATAAGGGAGAATCCACTTAAGGAATGCTTAACAGAAGAAAGACTAGAGGAAAATTGCAAACATTGGTTTCTGCTTATTAGGTGATTTGTATTAAGCCAACTCCTTCCAGTTTATGAAGGCTTATATCTGGCATGCTATGAGATGAATTCCCACTTTCACTTCAAAACAACTGGCAGACTTATTATTGTGAGTAACGAAGAGCAGAGATCCTGAAAATATTGCTCAGTTTAAGTGTATTTAGTCACTGAAGGGTATTGTGCTGAGGGAAATGTCAGAGAGAAAGACAAATACCATACGGAGTGGGCAAACGTGGGTTTACAGTTGTTTCTATGGAAAAAGACATGCAGGTTGTGATTATAATAATACTCATACAAGAATAAACTTTATTTCGCTGTAAACTTTTATTCACACTGTAAACCCACTCTTGCCCACCCCTGTATTTATATGTGGAATCTAGAGAACAAAATAAACAAACCAAAATAGAAACAGACTCAAAAATACAGAGAACAGACTGACGGTCGTCAGAGGGGAGATGGGGCTTCGGGGCCGGGTGGAAAGGTGCAGTTTGATTAAGACAAATGGGTAGCTACAGAATCACAGAGTTGTAGATTACAGCATAGGAAATAATCACTAACACCGTGGTAACTGTGCATGGGTCCAGGTGGGTATTTGAAATATTGGGGGGACCACTCTGAAAAGTACATGATATTCTGACCACTTCACTCTACATCTGAAATGAATACAGAATAATATGGAGTGTAAACTGTAACTGAAAAATAAACAAATAATAATAAATATAATTAGTCATTGACAAGCAGCAATCCTTAAAGATTACGTATTGCTACAGAAAAGAATACCTAACATTTATTGAACCCTTACATGTATTTGTTCCAACTACTAGTTCAATTAATCCTCACCGCCACCTTTGACTTTGACATTGCCCTGCTGTTGATCCCCAGTTACAGTGGTCTCCCTCATGGGCAGAGGACACGCTCCAAGACCCCCACTGGGTGACTAAAACTATGGACAGTACTGAAGCCTAGATATACTGTTCTTCCCTATACATAAGTATCTATGAGGAAGTTTAACTTATAAATTAGGTACAGTAAGAGATTAACAATAACTAATAGCGAAATATAACAATTATAACAACACACTGTAATAAGGTTATGTGAATGCGGTTTCTCTCTCTTGAAATATCTCATTGTGCTGCACTCACCCTTTCCTGGGGATGACGTGAGAGGACACAACGTTGACGCAATGAGATGACGTAGTAGCTATGATTGACAAATGGGAGGATCAGCAAGTCAGGATGACGTCATACCTTCCACCCACAAAAGTAACGCCTTTTCCATCTTAATGAAACACTTGTCACTCATTGTGACCATAACTTTTGCAGTCTGAGGTGCTAAACTGTGCTTCACTAGCAGTTTTTTTGTTCCTTTCTCGCAATTTCATAGAAGATTCGTTCTTACCGTAGATTTCAGCAACCTCAGCAAACAATATTGTCTCATTTATTAGGTGGAGAACTTTCACCGTTTCACTCAAAGGAAGCGCTCTGCAGCTCCTCTTTGGCATCTCCAAACTGCCAGAATGGCCGCTCCTGTACTTTGGGGCCATGACTAAGTAAAACAAAGGGGACTTGGACACAAGCTCCGCCATACCTCGCCAGAGGACCTGACAACGAAGAGCCTGATTGGTGGGAGCCTCCGCAGCGTGGAGACGCGGGATGAGGGCGGATTCACGTCCAGGGCGGGGCGGAGTGGGACTCGCGAGAGTTCACCACACTACTCCAGACAGTGCACAATTTAAAACATATGAATTGTTTATTTCCGGTATTTTCCACTCAATATTTTCAGACCCTACCTGAAACCTCAGAAAGCAAAACCGCAGGAGGGGGAGGACTAAAATACAAAAGTACTGAGTCTCTGAACTAGTAACTGAGAAAACTGACATCCAAACGTAACCCAACACTTTGTGCCTCAACCTACCTGCTGCTTGTATTCATCACAAGTTCTTTCGGTTCTGCAGCTGTAAGGTGTCTGGAGCTGCTGGGTGGTTGTGGTGTAGCTGTGCGGGGGTTCACGGGGCCTGAGCCTGGTTCCAGCCTGGCTTCCCGCAAAGTCTGTGGCCTTCGTACCAGACTGGCTGAGAGGCAAGGCGCAAGTCAACCAGGAGATGATCCGGCGGCTCCTGGAGGAGAATGACCTGCTGATCCGCTGTATGGTGGAGTATCAGAACAAAGGTCGGGCGAATGAGTGCGTCCAGTACCAGCATGTGTTACACAGAAATCTCATTTATTTGGCTACCATTGCAGCTGCCAACCCAACCAGTCCTTCAAAAGTAATGGAGTAATCTTCCAGCCGACGGTTGTGAGGAGTAATTGAATGTAATCCATTTCCTGTGAAATGGAGACGGGATCTTTAGCAATGCAACTGCTGAAAACATGAAGGAAATCCTTGTGGCTCCTTTCAAAGTGTGAAAATGTAAAGGAAGCTACTAAATTAACTGTATTTCAATGTAAATATTTCTTTTTAATAATTAAGCAGATTCCCTCCCACCCCCAAAAATAAAAGTTCTTCCACAAGGCCAGGAGTGACAAGAGATTATCTTATCTGAAAAGCTGTTTAAAGGCTATTTGGCAGTATTATTTATTACATCCAAGTATTTTAATGCTCATATAGGCGGCAAATGTCCTTGCATGACATAAATACGGGAGGGGCCCCCAAAACTGGAATTTGTTTATTAAAAATTGCGTATTTTTTTACATGTTTAAATCTCAGTCACCTTCAAAGTACTCTCCATTTGATGCAATACACCTATCGAGATGGTTTTCCACTGCTCAAAAAGTATTTGAACTCATCAATTTTGATGACTTTTGGTGCTTCTGCTGTTTTTTTCCTTCACCTCTTCTACATCACCAGAATATTTCTCTTTGAGGGCTTTTTTAACCCAGGAAACAAAAAAAAAGTTGCTTGGGGCAAGGTCCAGTGAACAGGCAGGGTAGGGCACGAGGGTGGAACTGTTTTATAGTCAAAAACTGCTTCACGTGCAGTGCGGTGTGGGCAGGTGCGCTTGTGAACCACCCATCATGAAATGGGCAAATGCATCGTTGAGTCTTCAAAAACAACTCACTGAAAGTGAACACTGTGTCTCATAACACCACCAGCTGGTACACGGAGACAAATGGGTTCCTAGAACACTCGCCTAGAGGGGGTAGCCTGTACTACAAGCCACCGCCTTTCAGAAGATAATTCCATATATGTATATTTCCATTAAAAATAGAAACTTCTATAATCTGCCTTAAAGTGTTTGTTCTATTTGAGCTGAATCTATGCATGGGTGACTTCCAACAACAGCTAGATATTTTAAGAAGTCTTGAGCAAATGGTGCCTCATTCCATCATATTTTAACTACATATGGGTACAAAAAATTCATGTTTTATTATTCCTACGTCAGTTCTGATATAAAGCTTCTAAACTTGACAAGACAGAATATTTTAAATCAAAAAGAGTCCATTCAATTTGAAACTGGATATTGTGAATATAAAATCGATGTAGAAAATATGAACATTTACAAAGGATTTAGTGATATTTCTTTACATCCATTCAAAGAATTTTAAGAAGGCTAAATACACAGGATTTCTGCTCCTTTATGTTTTCTCCCATTGTAGTCTGTGAGTATTTGACTAGGAGCTTCTATAGCAATATAGCAGACCACATGTAAATTGACTAGTGTCACGTGGGGACTTGGATTGTTCCAGTGGTCAAATACTTCCTCTCCCCGCCCCCCACCACCACCATGGCTCTTCCTGTCATCATTTAACTCTTTTTTATTTAAAATCAGGTTATATACAAAATATCCCTCATTTTTGTAGAGAAGAATAGTAACAATATCAGAGTTGTTAGAGGACTAAATAAGATCATGTATGTTCAAGTTCAGCATATAGCCTAGCACATGGGAAATGGAACATAAATGCAAAGCCTTTTTATTACTGGCTGACCTTGGATTTGAGCCCTGCACTCAGCAGAATGTATGGTCTAAATTCTAGAGAGCAGGAGTATTCTCCCTAATGTCTCCCAGTGTCTTTATGTAGCAGTGGTTTACTTGAACCAAAGTTTAGCTTTTCATGGAATATAGTAAAGCCTCAATTAATTGGGAGGGGTTCCTGAATCTGAGGTAGCTAGGATCTTCCACTGGCAAGGATACATAGTTTTTCTATGTATCCTTCTCCCTGCCTCCCTACCAACACCCAGACTATACATAATTCCAGGGGCGCTACAGCCAAGCAGCTTCTCTTCAAATGAAAAAGAGCAAATGCACTAGAGAAGAGTCGAAAAGGAGACAGGGGTCTGTAATAAGTAATTCCAGGAAGGATCACAAAGTAGAGGGAAGGGACGCAGCTGAGATTTTTAGATCCTTACTTTCCCAGCTTTCCTCACGGCCAGCCGAGCCTACGTCCAAAACTTCCGGACATCGATCAGGGAGCCTGAACAGAGGGTGAAGTGCAAAGTCTCCTCCCGTCTCCAGGATGCAAACATAATCAGTGAGGAATTTCCCTGAGTCCAGGCAGGGTGTGACACACCACCACAGCTAACGCCTGCTTGTTTCTTGTTTTTGTTTTTGTTTTTGTTTTTTAACCCTCACCTGAAGACATCTTTATTGATTTTAGAGAGAGGGGAAGGGAGAGGGAGAGACAGAAACATCCACGTGAGAGAGCAACATCAATCCGTTGCCTCTGGCTGGTGCTGACTGGGGACCACGCCCACAAGGCAGGCACGTGCCCTGACCTGCCACCTCCTGGCTTCCAGGGTGCCCTCCAACCAGCTGAGCTACCTGGCCAGGGCCCACACCTGCTAGTTTTAATTCGTATTGCTCAAAGGCATTTCTGCAGTCTACAATGTAGAGATTATTATTAAGTCCTCCTGTTAATGTCTGGGATTCTTGCCCAGTCTCAAGGCCATTTTCTTTTGAGCTTCGGCTCTTGCTGCACTTAACTGTTGGTGATGGAGATGAGTATGAAGATGGCAGCCGCATATAGATAACATCGAGCCTAGAAAATACCCTAGAAGTCAGTCATTTGCACAAATCCTCAGGAAAAAAATCATTACTAAATCTATATATCTTTAAAAATAAAGTCATAGTAAATGAACAGCTCATTTCTTTACAAGGGTCATCATTGAGTCTTACATTTGCACATTTTGCTAATTAGATCTTTTAAATTATTTAAATGATAGTCTGTATTCGAATTTTATGGAATAAAAATGACAGTGGGGGTGAGGGGAAAGAGAAAAAGTAAAGAATGTTCATTTGACTTCATTGATTTTTCTCCAGTGCTATTGAAACCATTTTTTTGATATACAGAATTTCAAATTTTAATACAAAGTAATAACAAGATCCTGGTGTGAGAGAAAACAATTTAATTACATGAACAATGACGTATGATCTAAAGCTTCACAAGAAAATTTCAAATATAAAGTATAAAAATTAGTATATGCAATTTAGATGCTTTTATTAGTGCTAAATAAATAATTCTAAAACTCTGATCCTAGGCAGAGAATAGAAGACTAAGTCTGACAATAGAGAAAACACAATCACATGTGTGTTTAAATGAGACATTTCAAAAGAAATGTTAGTAATCTGACAATCTGTCAAGCACTGTGTTCTGAGCACAGTACCTCTCTTTTCATGGACTTTGCACTATTGAATCCTCTCAGTCCCCCGGTGAGTAAAACCTTTTACTTCCCGTTTTGAGAAAATTTTTTTCTAGTCAGTAGCCTGCAATCTGAAAATAAGTCAGAAAAGTCCGTTCTATTCCAAAGTCTATGCTTTTATATTGTCCATTAAGACTACATGGTCCACGAGGACCGGGACCAGTATATTATTTCTCCGCTGGCACATTTTTATGTGTTCAATAGATATTAATAAATGAGTGCATATGTATATATAGTTCTAATTTAGTCACTAAACACCAAACAGAGAAACACCTATTTGTAAACTCACAAATCCCTGTAAATGTTTTACATTGCCCACTTCTATTCATAAGTTTATCTTCACGGGGAACCCAGGCCACTTTCCCACTTGCAAGGCCAATGTATCAAATTGACCTGACAATGTGGCTGAAGTTTTATCTTGCCATATTAACTGTTTCTCCCCACTTTTCCATTCCTCTTCCTCCCCACAACTCTGCCCCCATTTCAGAGCTTGGTTCTGTGGCATTGCCCCAGGGAAGCACACCGTGGAGATGCCAGCAAGTGTTCTATATTTTCACTTCTTCAAAGCCCACATAGCTGCTAACTAGGAAGAGGCCATGAGAACAGAAACATTCAGGTACAAGCCATGAAAACAGATAAATGACTCCTTGCTCACCAGTCCTTTTAATGTACATGGGGTCTCATTTGTGACAATCTGGGAAGGAAGGGGGAGGGTGTTCAGAGGGGGGGGGTTTCTAACTCATTATTTTCCCACTGACCTGGCAAAGACTCATAATTAGATGTTAAGTTCACTTGCAGTAAATAAAAAGAATAATATTGCTTCTCACACAGATCTGTGAACTGAGATTCACAGTCACAACAATTATTTTGTCTACGTGGTCCTCTTAGGGTCAATGGAAAGCTTTTCATTTTAAGCCACGGGAAAACTACCAACTTTTCTATTTCAATTGGCTAAAACATCAAATTCACAAAATTGGTGTAAGATCAAGAATTTTTATGTAGCCCAACTCCAGTATTTAACAAATTATACAAAAAGCAAAGTAAGGCAAGGATCAATTGACTTTCAAAGCTCACAAAGAAAGCTCTCCACCACCTCTCCACCTCTAATGAAAATACAGGCTTTCCTCCCACCCCCCCCCCCACCCCCCCCCCCCCCCCCGGTAACTAGCCACGGTACTTTTAGAAAAAAGGGGCAGAGCCGCTCTACTAAACTGCACGGAACAAAAAGCCCCAGTACATTCTGGAAAGACATCGCGGCCAATCCTGCCCCCTGCAGACAGCAGACACCTTACCCGGGCCAGGGTTGGTGGGCGCAGCATTTCGTTCGCCCTCCTCTTCACTGACACATTGGAAAATTCTCCAATGAGAGACGCTTACAGGTAGGGGGCGTGGTCTCAAGGGGCGGAGAATTTGACGCCTTCTCTACAGATCAGCCCTCTTTGGTCCGCAGGGGCCATCCATCAAATGAACTACACCAATTAGCGATGAAAATACCCACCCAGCCCCTCGCAGGAAGGCCCCGCCCTCCTATAAAAGACTCGGGAGGCCGGTCCAGGTCCCTTCGGCTCCGAGCTGACCCTGAGGAGGTTAGTGTCGTCTGTGCGGCACTGCGGAGCCCTCCACCCAGGACAGCTCCCCCTCCCCGGGCCTCTCCCCTCTTGCCCACGAGTCCCCTCGCCTCCTAGGCCTCTC